CAGGCTTCTGCTGCCGGTACCAGCAAACTCTGGAATGTTCTTCTCAGACAGATCCATTTATCTTGCCTTTATTTTGTGTTCAGCCTTGTGGACATTTGTATTTAAAACTATTATTATTATTATTATTATCATTATTATCATTATTATTATTATTATATTCAAAGTAACTAGTAACCAAAAACATGTACTTATAAACAAAAACAAAAGTGGCATAATCCTGACATGGGTCAAAACAAAGCCTGACACTATTTCACCCCTTGCAGACATGCACTCTGCTCCGTTAAACTGACGGTTGGCCAAAAGCTATTTAAAAATGATTTTGCGCTACAATTTCAAATCTATCATTCAACGAAATGAAATGCGATGAAAACAGACACGAACAGATAAAAGACGATTGATACTCACCGATAATTAATGTAATCCGATTTGGTTATCGTCTACTCTCACATGAATTACCGATATCGCGTGCTTACTGAGGCGCTCTGTTGGGTATGTTTAAATGCAGCCGTGAGGAACATCAACGGAACAGTGACCTCTGAATGACTACAATGTTAGTGCAATGGATTGAATGAGCCAGCAAAGTTCTATGTCCCAAATCTGAAACAGTAGCTTCGTTTGACACATCTTTTAAACAGCAGACAAAAACACATTACAGTCGAAATATTAGCAATAAAATATGCAAAACAATGGTAATACCTTTGACTTTTTCCTGGACATTTTTCTCAAAGTACCCCTCATTGCTGATGTTCCCAGCTGGTCGGTACTGCCCAACCACAAACAGCAAGTTGCCATCAGTGGCCACGCCCACACCCAGTTCACTGCTTTCTTTCCACACCACTTGGGTAAAATGACCTGCAGGCAGAAACACAACAGAGTAGTAAAGTAACAGTTTTCTTAAAGTTGCAAAAAAATGTGTATCTCTCCTACATAATGCAAAAAAAAAAAAATGAATGAAATAAAAAAAAATAAATAAAAAATTCAGCATAATATAATGCATGTTAACTTCATTGCTTTTCATTTTCATGGCTTGGGCTTCCTTTTTCCTTTTCCTATCTCTATTTTTGCAGTCCCTGTGGCTGTGTCTCACCAGTATTGCTTTGGAATCCAGGCTTGGACCAGTTGTAGTCTTTGATCTCACTGTACCATGAATCCACAGCTTCTTTCCCTGAAACATTAGAGAAGGAAAGAGAAGAATAAAAGACCCATGATATGACCATTTGAACTGGTGGTTGGACTATGAGTTTTCAGCTTGAGCTTTGACAAAAATTAAAAGAGAAGGTTTTACCAGCAAAACTCCTGAAATTAGTCAGAATATGTCCCATTGCTTACTAATTCAGTTACATGACAAGAGCAGTTTTATTGTTTGTTTTAAAACTTACAGTTTCATTTTGATTTATCATGAATTTGTTGTGATTCTGATAGGTTAACAGGTAAACAAATATATAATGGTTATTTCACCTGTTGCTTTAATGGGTTGAGAGCTGGACATGTAGAAGACGTTCTCTCCATCCTGAGTGTCACTGTGCCCAAGGCTTTTCTTTGCCAGTAATTGATCGGCCCATTTCTGAGCTGTGGCAGTTAACTCACTGTTGAGGGTCAGTAGTGGTGCATTGTGCTGAGCCCTGTATTTGTTGTGGGTGCCCAAGAACTCGTTCTGAAAGTTTGCATCTGCAAAACAAACATTATGAACTGATAAGCTTTTAACTCTTAAAAAAACATGCCTTGTGCTGAAGCAGCAGGGTATGTAGAGAATGCATCATGCCCTGTAATGATGCAAATGTTTGTTACGGGAATGTGTGATTGTAGAAAATAATTCCTGGGGAAAACAGTCCACTTACCTGCCATTGTTTCTATGGTGATGAAGCCTGAAAGGAAATCCAAACAGAGTTAAATTTAATAGAGGGGAACAAATAAATGATTATAAAACAATAGATAAACAGCTTTTCTAGCAGCAGAAAGCACAAATGTCCTCCTCTAACTACAGGAATGTCTAGCACTCACCTGGTTCAGGGTGTTTAGCAATCGTCTGGAGGAATTTTCTATGAAGAGACAGTTCCTCTTGCTGTCTTGAAGCCCGTATTTATGGACTGATGCTGGAACTCTCCTCCTCACCTCTATATGTAGGAGGAGACAGACACCCTGCTCTTGTCTTCAAATGGTATTTGTTGTTTTTCTTTTGTCATTTACCTGCCCCTATTAAGACATATCAAGGTTGGAGGTAAAAAGTGTGTCTTTGTTTGAAGGTAGTCAGGAATGGAAAATAGTTGTTTTTCTGGTTCTGTGGTATTATTTTAGTTAATCTTTCCTCCGATGACAGATGATAACCTGGTGCTTAGCCTAGGACCTGTGTGAATGTCTCATAAGTACAATGAATTATTAATGCGATTGTGGAGCATGTAAACATAGTTTTTGCCAAAAAAAACAAAACAAAAACATCTGCACAGAGCCTGAGTCAAGCCATGTTGACATACCATCAACGTGGTTGTAGTAAACTGTTGCCGTCCAGATTCCTTCCTGCCACCACCAGTCTGCAGTCGCTGGCGGCTAAACAAGCCAAGGCTTGAATTAAAAACAGACAAACAGAAGACTTCAAAAGCATGTGGATCTCATTAGCTCACTATAAAACACTTTACTGCCCCGCCCTTAATGGATGCTTACATTTACCACAAATCCAGCAAATGTTGTCCTAATCATGAAGTGGAAGTGCTTGCCCTGTAGCTTGACTTTGCACATCACTCTGAATATTCACAAAATGAATGTACTTTTGATTTTGTTTTGCAGGCATACTTTGACAACCAACATGATTGTTTGCTCTTAAAAAGGAAAGCTTAAAGCATTTTAGACTAATGTTAACTGTGAGCCAAAAACCTCAGCCGTCTGAATCATTTTATGGCATCCTGCATGACAGGGAGGAGTGAGTCATTAAAAAAAAGTGACATTCAGTGAGAGTGTTGTATTAAAAAACAAAAACAAAACTGAATCTCAGTCAAGAAAGGTGTACCGACTCTTGTCGCACTGAGCTCCTGCTGTGGCCTGTATTGTTCACATCATACATTTAAAATGCTTCTATTATTACACAAGAACAAACACCTGCTGTTTAATGTCAAGGTGATGCAATTAGTGTAAAGTGACACATTTTTAAATCATTTGCCATTTAAGTGATATTGCACAGGAGTGTACTCACTTCTGTTATGTACTGTATTACACTAGCAAAGTAAATACCTGCAAGTGCACATTGATAAAGACTAGAGACCAAATTACAAACACACTTGAGGAAAAAGTCATCACATCCTTTACATAAGTAAAAGTATTGCATTTGTGCAGTTTCTGTAAGTGAAAAGCCCACTTTCAGAATGTTACCTAAGAAAGACTAAGTCAGCAAAATATACCAATCCAAAATAATTAGACTTATTATGCAGAAACACCATTTCAAAATGCTATATTAATATTCCTGATGCATTAACACATTGTCAGCATTTTAATAGTCAAACCTATATTTGTTTAAAATTTTTGAAAATACATTCCAGTAGAGAAGTATACAGTACCAGAAGCCTGTTCCAGTTTAGAGTTGGTATGTATGAGAAACTTTTAAAGATAGATTTTCCTATGAACTGGTGTTATGGTTGTTCCCTTGAACCTGATAAGGCAGTGTAGCAAAGTCTTACAACTGTATTTTGTTGTCTAGGCAGTTGTACCAAGTTCAATGAAAATAAAGTTAAATTTGATGTAATCAGATCTAATGATAGCAGATGCCTTCTAGATGTGAAGACAACTCTACGTTTCCACATAACTCACAGTGCTGCAAATGAAAGGAATGGAAGTAATTAGCACTGTGCTAAATGTTGCTCAATGATTGAAGGGTAGTGGTGTACCATGAACAGCCTAAAGGAGATCCTAATTCACAATAACCCGTTGTAGACAGGATAGCTGATTTCATCATCTTGTTTTTCTGTAAGAGGAGAAGCATGGAAATGGACAATCTACTGTTCAAATTACTAAGTACTTACTTTATAATACAACACTGTTCGACTTCTACTGAGAGCTTTAATAGGAGTGGAACTATCAAACCTTCCTGTGCTTGTGAAATGCATATATTTTGTATTTTTTGGAGTGTTTATTAATGTTGTTTTATGACACAATGTTGTTTTATTAAAGACACAAAGCATTACTTATGCCGCTTTCAGTTGTGGTACTTCAGACCAGATAGAGGCCTTACTGATGTTCCTGAGGCCAGAATATGGGTTCTCTTTGTGTAAACATTTAATCAAGATTCCTTGGAATCCCTACTCTATATGGTCTCTGACACTTCATTTCATTTGCTGCTCAGACAAGTTGAAGTTCTGATTTGCATGTAACAGGAGCCTGTTTGCACATGTCTCAGACAGGTTCTTTTACCTGTTAACTATGCAAAGTACATGGTACTCTGTTTTGTGCAAAGATGACACCTGTCATTATGAGTAGGTAAAGGATGTACAGCTTTGTCAAATGATGTTGAGAGCAGTAGCCTCGAGGGAGCTTCCAATTTTCATTTTTAGTCTTCATAGTGATGATAGCTGGGTGATTTCCATCGTGCTTTTACTGTCTGTAATTTGATAGATAGCCATTTTCTGTGACTGAGTCAGTATCTGTTTTTAAAACAGCACTGAAAAGGCCACTTTGGCAATGCAGTGTGTCCTGCGACTTCCCTCACACAAAGTGACTTCAAACACTTTGCCTTCATATTTATCATACTAGAAGACATTCTGAAGCGTTGAGGAATATTTAAATTATTGAAAACAAATCTGTAAATAAATGTGGGTTGAGTTGGGAATTGGAGGTGTATAGTTTGGAATAGAAACTTTTAAATTCATTGTTAATGAGTCTGTGATCTGAGGTAATAAGGCCAGGGGAGGTTTTCATAGCAGGTATGGCGCGCAAGGCCGCTTTTTGACATCGTTGGTGAGCTAATAGCCTGGTACGCTTGTCACCATCCTCAAAAATTTTTTGCCGGGATTCAAGAAACACTTCCTCTGCACGCTGGGTCGTTAAAAGGTCAAATTCTGTTTTTAAAGTTGTTCTCTCTTTAAGAAGCTCTGCAGTCGGGTTTGATGCATATTGTTGGTCTAGGTGAAGAATAGAGGTGGTGAGATCAGAGATGTTGTTTTTGCGACATTTGTTAATATGTGACATGTAGGAGATTATCTCTCCACGTATATAGGCTTTAAAAGCTTCCCAGCGGATAAAGGATGAGGTGTCTGAGGTTAGATTAGTCTCAAGGAATGCATCAATTTTATCTGTTACATAGGACACAAAGGTGGGATCTGAGAGGAGGAGAGGATTGAAGCACCAGGATCTGTTTGAAGTGTTATCTTATAGGGAGAATGTAAGTTTAAGAGGAGCATGGAACGAGATGACAATACCTTCACAGTCGCAAGCGTTTATAAAACTGAGTAAGAAGGCGTCGATGAAGAAGTGGTCAATTCGAGAGAAGGAATTGCGTACAGAAGAGAAGAAGGAATAGGATCTTGAAGATGGGTATTTGAAACACCAGGGGTCTACAAAGTTATGGGTATGTAGATATGTAAATATTCAATGTAGTGTTTGTGTCATGGTTCGTGGCCACCCTGGTGTGTATGTGCGGAACCCAAACAAAGAGAAGACAGAGAGTAAAGGGAGGAACAGGTTTATTTCAGGGGAAACCAGGGGTGTAGGATACCAGGAGGCAGGTGAGGAATCTGGGACAGGTGGGCAGGTTACAGTGCCGGCGCTCGTGTGGAGGTTTTCCAGTGCAGGTGCTCGTGAAGAGTGAGGACTGGACTCGTGTTGCCGTGTGGTAAAGGCTGGAGTGAAGGGCGGACGACTGGACGCTGGGGCCGGCGGAGAGGACGCTTGAGAACAAAAAAGAGAAACTACAATTACTCGAAAATTCGAAACAGATTAGCAGATGAACACATGCGCTCAAAACTGCTGTTAATGGCCTGAATGTACCACTTGTGGTATTGACAATCATCTGGCACTGGACTCCAGGGGCCTCATGTACAAAGTGTGCTTACGTACAAAAACTTACTTACACACTTATCCACGCTGAAGTTCAGATATATCAAGAGCGAAATGAACGTGGAAATGTGCGGTCCTCCACGCCAACTTCTTGACTGGCGTATGCACGTTTCTATTGCTTTTGAGCCGTTGGCGACACTTAGAGGTGATGCTGGGAATATAAAAATGTAAAAAAAAAAAAAAAGTAAAAAAAGGTAATTCCTCAAAGTGATATGCACATCAGAGACACTTAACACACCTAGGTGTTTGCAATCAGATGAGTATAAAATTTTGCGTAAAATGGTGCAGAAGATGCCGTTAACAACAATGGCAGCTTTGGACCTGCTGGAGGATATTGCCAATGGAGCAGTGCCAAGAGAACGGGTTTCTACAAGTTCTCACGACACGCCGTGTTAAGGCATGAAAAACAGCAAAGTTGTACTTTTTGCACCTTCATTTTTACAAACAGATTTTTGCTTCAGAATGTCTTATAGTATGATAAACATGAAGGCAAACAGTGTTTGAAGTCACTTTGTGTGAGGGAATTTACAGGAGACACTGAATTGCAAAAGTGGCCTTTTCAGCGCACGTAACACTGTTTGAAGGCATGGAAAACAGCAAAGCTGTACTTTTTGCACCCTCATGTAAATCAGGAGCTGTTGGCAGTTGTGCTTGCTAGTGATGGGAATTACGGCTTTTTTGAGTGAGCCGGATCATTCGGCTCAGCTCACCAAGAAGAGCCGGCTCTTTCGGCTCCCAAACGACTCTTCAATTTACCACTCATACATTTTCTAATTCAGCCAAATTTAGCGTTGTTTGGCTTATGATATTTACATAGGTGTACACATACGTCCTAAATAATTCAATACCTCCTCTGTACTAAATTATTCACAACTAAAAATTACATTTTCTAATATCGGTAAATTGCTGTAGCCACTTGTTTTCATTGCATTTACAGACCCTTGTAACTCTCTGAAACCACCCAATGAACACACTCACTTGCTTGTAGAACCACTCTGCTACACAAAGCAGACAGAAACATCTTTAAAAACTTAAGCATAGCATGTTTATTTAAACACAAATAAATATAA